GGTTGTGCAGAGAAGAATGTGCAGGGCACTTTCTTTGTCTGATATAAATATGAAAAAGTAAAATCTAGACAACTAAGTTGAAAATGAAGTGAATAGGAAAATAAGCGATGGATTTAAGAAAAGTCATACAAAAAAGCTAAAAGTTGAAAATGGAGAATTTATCTTACTATAAATATATAAATATTGTATTTAGCTATAAGAACAATATTTTCAGTATCTTAAACATTAATTTAAGACCAAGTTTTAAGTTCTCAGAAATGTATAAAAATTATATACATTTTTTTAAATCATTAAAATGGACTCTTCTTTAATACGGAAAGTTTTGCCAAGCCGGATTATTTCGTAATAAATTATTATTCAACTATATAGTTTAAGGATCTCAGAAATATTTAAAAAAATATGTATATAGATATTCTTAAATTCTATTCACTTACTCCTCCAAAGTAGGTATTTTTTCCAATTTTTTTTAAATTAATATAAAATAAAAAAGTTACCCAAATTCTCAAATAAAACCATTTTTAATCAACAATTGTTCACTAGATTTATGAAAATCGCGTTCACAGAATACAGGATAGGTATTTTTATGAACCCTTAGCCCTACATCCTAATCACAATAGAATTATTATAGCCACTTGAAAAGCTTAAGTAGCCAGAAGTTGCTCTTCCCGTTCCCGTTCCGGTTCCCAGAGCCAAGCTGAAGTGTCCTTGACATTCTGGCCGCTGGCCGTGCTTCGCTGTTGAATTCAACACTTGGCAACTGTGAACTGTTGCAAGGATTTGTTGTTGTTATTGTAACAGAAGGATATTGAACGCATGCAGGCAAGTATTTTGGAAATATATTCTCGAACATAAATTTTTATGTCCCACTCGATTGAAAGCTTTTTCGAGCGTAAGCATTTTAGATAAAGCCCCACGCGAATGGCGGGCTGGTGAGGCGTTAAGGTGGCACCATTCCCAATGCAGGTGCCGAGTCAGAAGTCTGATATCATTCGATTGCTTCGTTGGCATTTTGCAAATGACAGCATAAAAATTTGCCGAGCTTGATTGTGACTACAGCGCCGTGCTGATTGAACGCACACGACGGCCGCAAACGACATCGACATCGACAGCCGCAAAACGGCATGGAGAGATTGTCGTTATGAGGCGATTTGGTAACCAAAACAAGGGCTCTAATCCGCATAGCTTCAGCCGCTTAGGCGGGCAGCAACTACAACTAAACCACAAGAGCCGCCACCACCAGCACCACCAATGCCACCAAACACCACCGGCAGCAGCAGCAGCAGCAGAAGCAGCGACTGGCCCTCGGGCCTTGTTAGCGACCCTCGTGCGGGGATTTTTAATCCGTTTAAATGAATGACAGTCTAATTGGAGGATTTGAACGAGAACAAGTACAGAGCAGAAGGCCGTCTAAATAGTGACAAAGTCCTTGCCATATGCTTCGAAAAAACCACATGTTATTCACGGTATTTAAACAAACAGCAACAGGGACAGAAACCAACCACCCTCCAACCCCCATCAAATTAGGTGCTGCTGCTCTGAAATCCAATTCGAATTTTTATATAATGCGCGAAAAGCACTTGATTGAACCGAGGCCAGGGCATAAATTCGAACCAGCACATACTCCAGGGACATGCCAAACACAGGGGTTGGCATAAATCTATAGGCAAGTGCAGATCAAGCTGCAATATGCACGGCCCGGAAACTTTCCAAGCAGCCAACATCCGACAGGCAGCTAGAAGCTGTTCCAGTCTGGAGCAAGCGGAACTCCACAAAACAACGCAGATTACGAGACAGCAGCCAAGGCATTTACATTAACAATAACCGTAAGAAAAGGTGTCGGCTGTCTCCAGGACAACATCCACCTGGCTGCCGCACAGCCAGGACTAGACCAACTAGAAACAATTACCATTTACATTTTGCTTATCTGCCACGGTAATTAAAACCGCCAAAGACACGGCATAAGGAGCACGTAGCTCTGCCTGAAACTTAGTCCGTAGATTGCGATCTTAGTTTTTTTTTCTAATTCGCTTTGCCAAGACGCAGTCGTACTTCCCATTTCCAACGAAAAACCCCTGCTCTTGGCGGCTTGACTTAATCACACAAAGGCAATTTCACGCCTTTTTGCGCGTTGCCTGCGCCCAGACACAGACACAGACCCAGGCTCAGGCCCTGGGAATCACTTTGTCACTTGGCAGTTTGATGTATCGACAGCAACAACCCCCCTCTTCAGACTGAGACTGACATGGCAAACAGTTCATCAGATTGTTTTAGTCAAGCAGATCTTCAGGGGTAGATTAGCAATTGCTTTGGCCCTAGCAAATTTTGTGCTCGATTTGTATATCCTAGATTTGCGTTAATTTCCATTGAATATATTCGAGTGAATTTGCCGCATGTGTTGGGATTTACACTCTACTCAAATTTCAGTCACGTGCCACATGAGTTTGTGTGTGTGGCAAGAACTGTTGGGGGAAAGGAAAAGCAAGCAGGTCCTTAAATATCCTCAAATAAAAGTATTCAAAGCTGACAAAGAAATGAATGTTGATACAAATAACAAATTTTCGTTTATAAAAGAATTAAATTGTTATTAAAAGTCAATTTGAAATATATATATTTGCGAATATGGATAGTATTAAAAAAATATATATAAAAGATAATATTTTCGAAAAGAAATTAAATTGAATTTAAATTAAATTTTTTGAATTCTTGATACATGTATAAAGTTCTCTTCTAGTCGAATTTTATTCGAAATAATTCCGGAAAGTATTTAAATGTAAAATCTTGAGAGTTGACAAGTGAAAAAAGTGTTGATACTAAAAAAATTACAATTTAAATTACAATACAATCAAACACTTTTTGAAAATCTATTTCGAGGTGAATTTTAGAAAAAGAATCCTTAACAAAAACAATAGAAAAAAATTTGAAAAATATTTAAAAAATTCGAATCAGATAGGCAGATTAGTCTTCGACTTTAAAACGAAATATTTTAGAAATATTTGTGATAAGATTTAGTAGTTTTACTAGTATTTTATGCCATAGGCTTATCAATTCTTTTATATTTAAAGGTGAATAAACAATTTAGCTTTAATAGTTCTGCGTGCAATTAATTAATTATAAGCTAAACAATATTTTTAATGAAATGCCAATGCCGAAGGCAATCATGTGTTAAATATTAATTTTGTGTCGACAGAAAACATGGCGAACAGACGAATTATAGGCTCCAACAAATACACACATGCCCCTACAACACACAGGCACACACACACACACACACACACACACACATGGGCAGAATGCAGATAGTGGCAGCTATAAATTTTAATTAAAAATGCAGCTCATATGGCAAGTGGAGCAATTAGCACCTGAAAATATGCAAACATTAAATTGCCAACTGCAGACAAACAACAACAATTGCAATGTACAGAAAGGCGTGGGATTTCAATAAAATTCTATACGTGTGTGTGTTGTGTGTGTGTGGTGTGTGCATGTACATTGTCCATGGCTAACATAACGTGGCCATAACAGACACATATTTCGCCCTAGCAGTGGCCACATCCTGCCCAGAACTCGGAGTGCAGTGTAAAAGCCCAAAAGCGGCTGGCAGAGCGAGATGGAAAAGTGAACGGAAAACATTGCACAATTTATTGTTGTTGTTGTTGTTGGGCATTGTTACTGGACAATGGTTGACAGTAAAGAGGTTTTTCTTTTTTTTTTTATATACCAACATATATATAGCGACAGGCAGACGGATAAATATTTTAGTTTGGAAAATCTTTTTGCGCTCAACAGTCGCCTACATTTGGCCCTACTCAAAATTTGCCGCATTGTGTGTGTGCGTGTGTGTGTTTATGTGCTCGCATACAATATGTAAAAGCTACGCGCAGCATATATTCAAAATACAAACAACAAGAACAACAAGAACAAGAACAGGACGAGCAGCAGCAGCAGCAACAGCCACGAGGACAACACAAAACATGAATATATATATTCAGACAATCTCGCTGGTGCTGCCAAAAAATCGACAAAAACAACCTGTTCGGAAACACTTGCAGCAAGGACATCAAGGATATATCGTGCAGCAGTGCCACACAATTCGAGAGAGGGAAATAGCTAGAGAGGGTAAACGAGATAGACAACAGATTGCCATCCGAAGGGGGTTGGAAGTGAGAGCTAGAGAGCCCGGCCAGCATCTAAGCGCCGCCTCTTTTCGAAACTTTGCCACAAACAAAATGGCACAGTGGGCTGAACAATGATTATTTCAGGACGAAAAAAAAAATTAAATATATGTATGTAAGTACATATATTTATTTATGATGCGTTTAAAGCGGGTAATATAATGTAGAGGTCACAGAAGGTTAAGTCCATGATCGCATAATGTAAATGTATTATTGATCAATCAAAATATATCGGATCTTATAGCTCCCATATGGTACTAAAACGCTCATAAATGCAGTTTTTGCATGAAGAAGTTTTTTGGTTGTCATGATATGTCAAACAAACTTGGCTTTAACGAATGTTTACATGCTCCTTACATATAACAAAAAATTTATCAAGATCGGCCTACTATATCCCACACACCTATATAAAGAATTGGTCTAAAGATTTGTTATTTTTAAGATATCTCAGCAATTACGAGCTTTTGTTCCTCTCACATATCTACAAGACCGTACTAAATGGTATTATAACATCATGTCGCATGGGAAAAATATCGAATAAATAAAACTCTTTTACAGTCATATGTCACCAAGGGTATTCAATCTTTTACTATAAATAGTTTAATTTAATTTCATATATGCTAATTTTTGTTTGAATGCATTTAAGTAAAAGGAGAGTCAGAGAGTTAAGATTTAACACTTTCATTATAGTTACATGTACATAATAAGGTTGCCTATGAAGAAAAGTTAATTTGATGTAAAGTTTTTCAAATAAAAATAAGATAATTTATATTATTCATTAAAAATATTGACAATATTATCAAAATCAAAAAGCAGCTTTATAATTATGTCAAAACTTAAAGCATTCTACAAAAAATTGAACACTCAAGCACTGTTGAACCAGTGTGCAGTATATGATATACAATGTCGAGTGTAGGAAAAATATAATAGAAAAGCCTCAGCGGGATGCCAGTCGGCTAGCCAGCCAACCAGGAGGCGAGCCCAGGCGCTGTTGCAACAATAAAACCACAGAATATGTTGGCAACTGGCAAAGCAGATGGGTCGCCGAGAGAGCGGGAGAGCAATAGCCCATTGCTATGGACACTGAAACCAGCAGCAGCAGCAAAAACAACAACAACAACAACCACCAGAGCATAAGCATAAGGGTGCAGATTCGAATTTGACTCTCTGCAGCAGCAGTCGAAACAGACTCTGGCGGGGAGTCCAAACAGAATCGGGACAGATGTGCGAGTGCCGCGAGTGAGCGGAGAGTTTTGCTTTGAATGGGACAATATGAAAATTCCAAGTGGACTCGCTGCACCGGTGGTGGCAATGTGGCGAGTACTTAAAGAGGAACAGATTGCGTGCGGGCAGCAGTCGAAAACAGAGCTTCGAATCGAACGGTGCCACAGAAACCACCAGCATCCATTTGTTGACAAGTGCATAAAAGCTTAGAGAGCCAGAGACTACGCTAAAAATATCACAAGTGTCCGATTCCAGTGTGCGATGAACTTGCTCATGGATAGCCTGCCGTCGCATGCGAATCCCGCCGTGCGTCGCACAACGCCGCCGCAACAGCAGACCGAGCTGCGCATCTCCACCAGCCCCACAGCAACAACAGCAACAATGACACAGCAGCAACAGCAACATCAGCAACACGCCAACAACAACATTAACAACAACAACAACAATGAAACGCCCAGCGTTAAGACGACACTGAAGCGCTCCTTTGATGTGGCCTTTCTGATGATGCCCGATGAACGCATCAAACAGAAGCAGGCCGAGAAACAGGCACGCCTGCAGGAGGCACTGCAGCAACAGCAGCCGCTGCAGTTGCATCACTTTCCCACAGATCTGTCGCCGCGTGCCGCCGCATCACAGCCGCCCTCGCCGGCGGCCCTGGAGTATATTAGTCTGCTGGAGGCGCGCCAACGCTATCCACAGCTGATGATGCGCTCGCCGCGCGTCTATGATGATCCCACGCTGGTCATACCGCTGGTGGACTCGCCAGAGGCAACAGTGTCGCCGCCGCCGCAGCCGTTGCGCAGCGCCTTCACCAAGGTGGCCTCCTCGCTGTCCAGCTCCTCGTCGCCCTCAACGGTTTCGCGGCTGGAGTCGCCGGTGGATGTGAGTGCGCCACCTCTTAGCCCGGATCAGTTGAGCTGTCATTCCATGAGTCCACCTGTGGTGGCCACGCCCCCACCGCGCACTAGCAGCGGCGGCGGCGGTGGAGGTGGCGGCAACAATACAACAGCTCCCAACACTTTACCCAACGGCATGCCCAGCAATCCCATCATGTATCACAGCTTTCGGCCCGAGTATCAGTTCAATGGCGCCTTTCAGGCCGTGAATCCCATGCAGGCGCTCCAGGCACAGCAGAGACTCAAACAGCAGCTGCTCTACAGGCCGCCCATGGCGCCCAATGGCCACAGCCCGAATGGCTGCTCATCGAATCCCTCGTCGCCGCCAACGGGTCCGCCACCGGAGTTCCTGCACGCCGCTTACCCAGGCTTTGGTCATCCTCCGCATCCCTTTGCGGTGGCTCAGCCACTGCAGAATCCCGCAGCAGCTGCGATTCTCTCCACGCTCATACCACCGACGCTGGCCTCCACCTTCACGCTGACCGCACAGAATGTGTGCGCCAAGTGCAACATTAGCTTCCGCATGACCAGCGATCTGGTCTACCACATGCGCTCCCACCACAAGAGCGAGGTGGCCTGCGATCCGAATCGGCGCAAGCGCGAGGAGAAGCTGCGGTGTCCCGTCTGCCAGGAGACATTTCGCGAGCGGCATCATCTCACCCGGCACATGACCGCGCATCAGGACAAGGCCAGCGATCATCAGCCAACGCCGGAGGAGTCCAACAACGACAATGAGATTATCAATGTGGTTGGCGGCACGCCGCCCGGACGCAGATCTGGCGGTGGCTCCAAATGATCCAAACATTTCTTCGGATACTTTTAAGCTGCTGCGTGTTTTGTTAGTCTAGTCCGTAACAGTCCTCCCCCCGCCCTGCCCCACACCCAAAAATGTTTCTCCATTGTGATATTAAGTTTAGTTCAAGCCCAATTTAAGTTTCACCATTAGCCATAAATATAGTGCAATTCTCATCTATCTAAAATATCTGGTTATTCCCCACCCGATTAGCTCTTGAGCTGTCGCGATTTATCTTTGTAAAATACTAGACCTAAGTTTAATGCTCCAACAATTTAACATTTGATGTGTGACTTAATGTTTAAATAAATATCTGATTGTTATTAAAAGCAAATATATCACTTTTTTAATGGTCAAGGGGTTTGCTTCCAGTTTATATAAAAGGTATTTAACGATTGATTCCAATACTGACCAGTAAATATATCTATAACAAAGATAAATATGCTCTAAAACTAAGACTCGCTGAGTCTGAAAGATTCCATAGATAAAAAATAACAACCAAACCCCTGAGTTGCTTATCTATACCTATCAAGGTGAACGGACTACTACAAGTATATTAGACTTTAAAATTTGACTGAATTATGTATATTTGATATTCCCAGTTAATATTTATAAGGTCGGTAGATGTTAAAGTTATCTTAACATTATTATGAATACATATGTTTTCGATGATTCGGTTCGCAGCTTAAACAAATACCTGGGCTAACTTATTTTTTGAATTATAATATGGCGCGGCTCCTAAAGGAAAACAGCAAGCTTTTTTGAGCAACAAGATTCTGCTTTACAAAACTCTACTTGTCCCAGTTTGCCATTTTGCAAGCCAAATCTTTGGAACACTAGCAAAATGGCATTGGACAAAAATTAAAGTCTTCTAAGCCAAGGTTCTCGCAGACTAAGTACTGGCAGATAACCTGGTATATCTATATCCGGGCCCTGGGAAAGGATCTAAAGGTTCCTTTGGTGGGCAACCTTTTACGAAAGCAGTCCAAAGTATCTACAAATAAGGTATTAAAAAAGGTGCACCTTGATTTGTCATAAATTAAATTAATAATATTTACATTTTATTACATTACAATACAGAACAAAAGAAAAAGAACAAAAGAAAATTTTAGCCAAATCATTATTTTAAATTTGTTGCGGCTCAGATGAGGGTTCAGCTTTTCTTTATACAACTAATCCGTTTAATGCTTCGGATTACTATAAAACAAGAATTTGAATTCCGACCCAAAAACGGTTGGGTTAAAACCGTCTCAATTAAAAGAACATTGAACACTTAAGTAGTTAACCTTATATAAGCATTATTTGATTTAAAAAAAAAATCCCTTTGGTTCTAACCTATTATTCTCATTTGATTTGAAAGTTTATTCAATTATTTTGCAGTCGAATTTTTAAATACTTCAAGTTCTACAATACTTTAGCTCGTGGTGCCAGCAGTTGTCAGGCCGCGAAAAACATAGGTTCCCAGGCTCAGAAAAAGCGGCACATGCTCTGGAGAAACATACGCCATATGAGTGCCCGAGAATATGTTGGCCTTGTTAGCGCAATGAAGCCAAAATAGCGGGAGGGGCTGCAGCCGTTGGGTCGGTCACATGCAGCCAGCCCAAAAGTCGGGCAGCGTATGCAGCAATTAGATGCGGCAACAAAAACGGCGCTGGCGACGCTAATGAGCTGACACTGGGTCTGGGAACAGAGCTGTAAACAAGATGCGGTATTCGCACACAAAAATGAAGGGTAGTCGGAAGCCAACAAATAAAAAAAAAAAACACAAAATCAGACGATAGACACCGCAACTAATGTGGCATACTGCTGGCAACTTATTTTGGCACAAGGAGTTCTCTCAAGTGCTTTGGACAGAAATGATTTTCGAATTTCAATAATTCTACAGTCAACTGGCAACCCTCCTTTGAGTCTGTAGCGATTCCCATGAGCCAAGAATTTGTAGCATGCCGAATTCCGACAAAGCGCAACGAATGTCTTGGGTGGTGGGTGCCGTGGAGGATGCCTCGTTTGCTGCACTCAAATGAGCCACAGCGAATCGCGTTGATTTAGCGTGGCCAAATCCTGTTAGCCCGTGCCAGTGTGCCACGCGATTCTCACAGGATCTCTGGATTTATCAACTGATGTATCAATTGATGGCGTGCCTAAACGCCGCTCCCCTCCCCCCACTCAAACCGCTGCTCCTGGCTTGTTCGCATTGTTCCCATGATGGGATTAGCGTTTTATGGCCTTGTATTCACCGCCGCAGCCACTTGATAAAGACATTGAACATGGAAGGTGTGGGATAGACAGAAAAGTCAGCTTACTTGTTAAAAGGTGAACAAATTGATGGAAACGATTGAAAGTTAATGCGAGACGATAAATGCGAGATGTAAGCGAATGGAAATGGGAGTTATTTTCAGCAGCCCAACCAGCCAAAATATGAAATTGGTTGCTGTCTGCCCCTTAGTCGCAACTTCTTTAAATGGAGCCGGCTCAAACCTTTAATCTATTAACTTTTTTATTTACCATAAGCCGAAACTTAAACCATTATAAACCTACACTTTGGAATAAGAACAGGCAAACCTAAACAAAAACTGAAATATATATATCTATAAAGAAAAGTGAATATTTGCTTTTTGAAAATATTATTACAAGAGCTTTCACCTTTTGCCACAGCACTCACGAGAATTTCAGTACTTCAAATATGCGAAAAGTATACTTTTGTTCATTTAACCATTGAAAGTGTGAAACACCTCTCAAATGAATTTAAAGAAGAACTTTGAAAATGGTGACGATCGGATGGTAAATGAAAAGTTACATGTAAAAGTTTTTCGCGATTTTTCTACACTTACGTGTGGAATTTCCTAAAATCCGTCATACTTAGCATGCAGCTCTAAAATCAGTCAGTCAAAACCAGTCGTTTAATATAAAAAGGTTATAAATTAAATAATTATATATTAAAGTGACAGGCATTTTTACCCAAGGCTGAAAGCAAATCCTAAGTTCTCAAAGCGAACCATCCGCCACCTACGCAGATATGTTTTTAATACTATTGATAGTTGTGAGGTGAGTTAAATGAAATTCTGCATAAAAAAACAATCATTTGGTTTCAGTACTAAATACATCGCTTTTGTCTTTTATCATCCCACTTAACATTAATACGATACGCATATTAAACTTAGCCACAAGCCCTGCCTTACTACTATTATAGTTTTCCATGACTTATATCATTGCAGTTTACAATGGACTTGGCGTCTAGCTTGGCCCTGCCACTGATTTATTTTATACATTTCCCCAATGAGCAATTTCAACTTCCTTTAAAAACAATTACAACTTCCTCTACACACACACACAGACAGGCGCGCAGAGTTTTGTTTGCGTCTCGTTAAGCCAACACATCGTCAAAATCACATTTCCTCATTTAAGCTAGCAGCGCCCTGTGGCCTGTGTGCCACCCGTCGCACTGAGAAGCCACTCAGTCAAAACGACGCCCCGGGCAACCGCAGTGGCAACTCCATATAATAAGCCTCATCATGGCGGCGGCTATATAATAGCAGACCATAATCACATTTCATATTTATCACATTTTTACGCCCACACGCAGCCCAGAAGGCGCAGACCGCGTGGTTTTCATGCTTGCCGTGCGACCTGCGCATTGTTTGCCTTTGCCTAACCTCGCAATTTGACCGTAAATAAATTGCCTGCTCATTTGGTAAGCACTTGCCCCACCAGCTAAATTCAAAGTGAATTTCCCACCAGTTTCCTTTCAAATCGAGAGCAGCAGCAGGAGCAGGAGCGGAGCTACCCTGACGGGCGACGAGCGACGTCGACCTCGTGTTCAAATACGTTTAAACACAATGCAAATACCGTTATAATAGCACAACAACAACAACAACGACGACAACAACAACAACAAGGCCAAAAACCAGACAGCTGGGTAAGGCTGAGCGCCCACAGGGCCTTGTTACGCCCCCTTCTGTAATGGAGACGTGTGCGTATGAGTGATTTTTCTCAGCTGCGCTTAAAAGTATGCAAATGTTTTTGTTTGGCTCCAGCCAAGGGGTTGTCGTTGGAGGGGGGCGTGGCCCGGGCTGGCTTTCATTTTATGACTTTTGCGGTGCATTTGCTGTTGTGGGCTATTAAGCCCCTGGTAAAGCGCGTTTAACTGCAGGCAATTTCATTTGCGTTTAATTTGCATGTCCTTTAAATATGCCGATTAGCTATGGACAGGCCGAGATTGGACGACAGGTGACTGCGCAGCTTGCCCAGGCTGCCAGTCGACTTAAAAGCAAACAAACCAAACCAAAAAAAATAAAAAATAGTAAAGCGAGCAACTGACAGCCAAGCCGCTTAAACTTTGAACTTTGTCATTTCAATTTTCGCCAACGGATGCGCTTTGTTTCAGGCCTCAGGCAAAGAGGACCGTGCTCTGCGGTGCCGTTGCTGGGCTTGTGCCTCCATGAGCCGCCGGAAACATTGAGCCCGACAATGCGACTTTCATTTGGCCAAAAATTGTAGATCTGTGGATTGCCGTTGCGTTGCGGTTGCCGCCGCAATGTGAGGAGCTGCCGCCATTGTTTTGCGGCCAAGGCACATGATGATGTCCTGGCCATGGCCAGGAAGTTTTTCATGCGCCATGACACTTTTTGTGCGCTACGGCAGCCATTTTGTGTGTGTGTGTGTGTGTTTGTCTACCTTTACCGTTGCCGTGGCCCGTTGTGCCATTGCCATGGCCCGGATCCCGAGACAGAGACAAAGACAGAGACGCAGTCGGTTGTCGGTTTTCGGTGCTCCATTGAAATGATTTTTGGAAGCATGGAAGCTGTTTGGCTTGCCGCAAGACAGCCGGCTTACTGACTGAACAGCAGCAGCCAGGACAGCCAGAACTGAACAGGACTGAACAGCAGTAGCAGCAGCAGCCAGGACAACATCCGCGTGTCCATGTCCGTGCGTCCTGTAATTTATGATGTGCGCTTCCTTTTTGTCCTCTCGTCCCGCCCAGCTGCCAGTTTCCTTTTTTTTTTTGGTTCTGCGCAACTTTTCAGAGCTCTGCGCCTGTTTTCTGCTGTCATAACTTTGCGCACGTAATTAATAGTTGTAAAGCGGATTTTTAGTTTTGTGCGGCCCAACTTTTATGGCCGCTTGTCCGGGAGTTGTTTGCTCAATTAACTTAGCAGGTAGTTAATTTTCACAAAGCCGCAGGACACCAGCTGCGGCTGCTAATTGATTTACAACCCAAGCGCTGAAAACGCAGCTTAAAGACACTTTAAGCGTGTCATTTGGTGCTCCTTGTCTTTTCAAGCGAGAGCTGGTTTTGAAATGCAGCCAAGTTGAAATTGAGTGGAACAATCGGCA